TCCTCGACGAAGTCCAGGCAGACGAGCAAAAGCCAGGGCGCGTACTGACGGGCGATTCTCTCCCGCAGGACTTGAGCTGTCGTTCTTCAGCGGCGTCTACAGCCCCAGCATCGGCTTCACGACCAAGATCGGCGACAACGCCAAGCAGTTGGTGGGCGTCTCTGGCATTTTCATCGGTCTCGGTGAAGTGATTGGTGCGTAAACAATACGCCAACGCAGTCCCAGGCGGGGTTACTGGGGTTGAACCTGTTTCCTGACCGTCTCCGTGTTTCCTCAGGGGGCGCTCTGTTCGGCCTGATGGGCCGCCGTACGACCCGTTCTGGCCGCGACCCCATCGTCATCATGGGCTTCCTCATCCACGTCGCCAGCTTCTTCCTCATCTTCCTCAACCTCCCCAACAACGCCAACTTTGGAGAGACCACCGACGACGCGTACATTACACCAAAGTAAGTCTCCCCTTCTTACATCCGTGCCGTTTTATTACGATATTCAAGTTTCATATTTTTACTTAATTTCCAACTTCCCCACTTTGTTGCAGCCAATACGTAGCTATCCTGTGCAGTTTCCTGTTGGGCTTTGGCGACAGCTGTTTCAATACACAGATATTCTCAATGCTAGGTGGTTTATATCCTGACGACAGTGCTGCCGTATTTGCCTTGTTCAAATTTACCCAGGTAATATATGTTCTTAGATTTAGTTTCATTGTAAGCTAATTTTGGTTAATACCTCTTTTCATTAACAACCTTTTTTCCTTACAGTCTGTTGCTGCAGCAGCTAGTTTTTTCTACAGCCCATCAGTTGGTTTGTACATCCAGCTTGCTATTTTAGTCGTAACTGGCACTCTAGGAACAATTACATTCTGCCTTGTCGAGTGGGCTGAGCGCCATAAGAAAACTGACAGCGAGGTTAACAGCGAAAGCAGTGATCCAGACACTGCGTCTCCCAGAACTCCTGCCCTACCACAAGACTGAAGTGAAGAGGTTTCATGTCTATTCCTTGAATCAATTAATTTTAATTCTATGTTATGAGGACAACTCATTTTACCTGTGAACAATCAAAAAACCAGTGAGTTGAACAATTCTTGGTGAAATATTCAGCAGTTATAATGGAATTTCTCTCACCATTTTATTATTAGGACTATGTTCTATAGTTGTAAAAAATATTAGTTATATTTAAACTTTTTTTTACACTACAGGATAATTTACTGCCCTCATACAGTAAGACCAATCTGTAGGTTGGAAATCAAATTTGTACAGATTGAATCCACATATTATAAAAACTCTTGAGTACAAATCCACAATTTCACATGATTCTGATTTTCTACAACCTGTTTTCCACAGAAATGCTCGAAAGTGAAAATTTGCGCACATTAAAAGGCAAGAATAAGTAATTTTTAAATCTAAAATTGAATTTCTGATTGCGTCTTACTTGTAAGGGCTTTGATACATTGTGAAAGACTTTAGTTCAATCCTGCTGTCTTCTGTGAAGATGTTGCATGGTAGGTAATGTCTTAATTTTCCAGATCTCATTTGTTTAAAAATTTGATGTCTGGTTGTTTATGCTGTTCTTATGAACTCTTGTTGTGTTAAGCTTTGATGTTTGTAAATATTTATCTTATGAAATGTTGTGATTAGAGTAACTTTCTATTTCTATGTATTGTTAAATGTCAAAAATTATCTTACCCTCGCTGGGTAAATGTTTTACATCATGTGATTGACTGCAAATTAGAGTAAAGGCACATTATGTGTAGAAAACATATTATTAATATAGATTAGATTATTAGCATGGAATATATGAACAATGGACCTTCATAAGATGTGCCCAGATGAATTTTAGAAAATATTTACATTCCTTTATCTGTAGTAACTAAAGGTTGTTTCAACTGTTTGCTATCAGTGCCAAGTCAAAACAAAGACACAAGAAAAAACTATTTATACTGTACTGTTACTGTACTGATGAGTTTTACAGTATGTACAGGTTTTGATCAATGTATTTTATTGCTACATTGTTATTGTTAGATTGGAACGTTTTTAGGGTCTGAGCTGCCTTTTGCCAATCATGTCTTCCGCACAAGCTAAGTACTTTGTGCACAATTTCATAAATTAGGAACAATATTATGGAATCATTTACAGGATCATTGTGATAATTTGATAGAGCTAGTTGAATTAATTCCATGAGCAGGTGAAAACTGTACAATTTTTAATGTCCATCTCAATGATAGTCATCCCTATTGCAAGATAATCCTATTATTGGCATTCAAGTACCTGATGCAACTAACTAAAAATATTATCTTTCACAAGACTGATTCAAGATTTTCTTTGTTGCAGACTAATATTGTCTTAGTCAAAAAAACAAAAAAAAAAGTCAATGCTCAAATTGCATCATTTCATTGCAATTACTGTACTCTGATCACTCTCAGAGGCTTACCTAGTCAATATTATACTTCCACATTTCAAAATTAACATGTATATTTGTGATGCCAAATTGTGTTTTGTGCCAATAATGTTCATTTTTTATATGAACAATAATTACATCAACATCATTGAATGCAACAGACAATTTTGATGCCAGAACTCATGAAATTTTGCAAAGGGATGATACTCTTGACAACGCTTGAGTATTAATGAAGTTGTTGAACAAAGACTTACAAAATAAAGTGTGATTCCTCTCTACACAATTTTTCTTACTTGAAACTTAACCCATGTTTACAGGTCAGAGCAGAACAAAAGTCAACTCCAGTTTCTTCTCATGGTTAATTAAATTTATTAACAGGAAATGGCAATGGTCATCCTCTCTCTCTTTACACGGAATGAGCACCTACTTAAAAGGATATTGAAGACAGAAAAAATTGAAACGTACATATCAGCTGAATAACTTTCACATATTACAATAATGACTAAGCTTAACCATCTGCAACATCCATTGCATCACCAGCGTCTGCTAGAATGAAGAAAAAATGCACAAGGTTAGAAGAGATCTGTATCAACTACAGCAGCAAAATTATGTCCTTACATCATGTGATGTTCTCTGTACTTACCAATGTCATTGAACATGAATTCATCTTGATACTCTTTAAGGAATTGCATAGATCTATTCTCATCCAAAAACAATGAGTACACTCTCTTGATATCCTCCATTTGGATCTAGATTAAAAGAAAACGAGTATAATAAATAACCTGCGCCTAGTAATGCTTAGATAAAGGAAAATAGTTCACATGTACTTACCTCATTGCTTTTACGTTTGCGGCTGACGAGCCCTGAGGTGGTAATAAGTTGGATTGCATAACGAAGCGATGTTTCCCCTGCTATTCTAGTGAGTACAGTAAGGGCATCATCTGACATCTCACAATCTTCCTCTTCACATCTAAAAAAATACATAAAAAATAGCTGATTGGGTTTTTGAAACTAACCGGATTTTAACATAGTTCATAAATTGTTCCCAACAGTTGAACCTCAAAAAGAAAAATAAGCACCTTATTTTGAGAATTTCTTTCAGTTCTTTTTCCTCATATGGTTTAGTGGCAACTATGTTCATACGATCCAGCAGGTCAATAGGAATACCATGAGGGGACATGTAATTGGTACCACGAATGCGTGTGATACCTCTGTTGGTGGCCATTATAACGACTGGAGCCATTTCATTTTCAAGAGCTCGGTTTAAAAAGGAGAAGCATTCAATATCTAACATGTGAACCTGGAGACAGATCAACACTTCATATAATAAGGGATTCCTCTGATAAGATAGAAAATAATAATAATAATTGGATATCAATTACCTCATCAATAAAGAGCACACCAGGTACTATTTCAGCTTTGCCCTCTTCCCTCCATTCTGCTACCTTAGCATTAATTTGTTCTCGCACCTCAGCCTTGATTTCACCAGTATCACCTGTAATTGATATGATTAGATAGGATTCAACAATCAATGCCAACCTAGTCTGGGTAATTTGAAGATTGCAAATTTAAAACTGAATATGAAAATCAACTTGCCAGAGAACAAAGCAAGGAAACCATGGGTGCGACTGTTAATAACATCCACTTCATGCAAGGACACAGTATGCACAACTTCTTTGCGCTTCTGCAATTCACCTTCAGGGCACTGTACAAATCTAGCAAGAAAAAAGAGTAAGAAAGTTACGTATACCAGAACCATACACTAAAAGATTTCAATGTAGCTATAGTATTTCACTGTACCTTGTTTGTGGTCCAGTTGCATCATAATCCCTTGCTCTAGTAAATGACCTTCCTAGTTTGCTGATTTTTCCTGTAGCCTTGTCAATAGTAATAACATCACCTGCTTGAACCTGTACAGGGCAATGCAAAAGTCAGTCTTAGTTTTTCCCTCTTAAATGAAATAGAATCCTCACACAAAATTGTGAGCAGTTCCTTGTTACCTTTTCTTTCATTATGCATTCAATCATTTTCCCTCCTAAATCATAAATTGTTTCCATCTCAGTAGTTTTCAAGGTAAGTTTTCCTACTTTCGTGCCAACTCCAGTGGCTGGACGATCCACTTGAACTTCAACTACTTCTCCTTCAATAATTTCGGTTTCTTCCCTAACAGACAGGGAAAACAGAAAATGTTCAGTAATATTCAAATAATTAGAGAAGAGGAGATATTGCAGCAAATGAGTACTTACTTTATTCTCACACCAATAGATTTTCTGATGGCCTGAGTCAAAGCTTCAGTTTTTCCCATTTCTAAGGAGTATATTTCAGAGCCAGCCATGCTTGTGAAAGGAGTATCTTGGCCAAGAGCTTGAGCCATGCCCATAGCAATAGCAGTTTTACCTGGTAAAGAAAATTGAGAAAAAAAGATTTATAGAATGAACAGAAATCAGCATGACTTAGCAGTAGATTATATAAAACCAACCCCACCTGTGCCAGGTTGACCCGCAAGTAAAATTGCTCTGCCAGCAATTTTCCCCTCCTTAATCATCTCCAGAACAACTCCGGCAGCTCGTCTGGCAGTGAGTTGCCCAACCATACCCTGAGAAACCTAAAACAGCGCAACATGCAGTGGATTAAAATTGAAGCTCAAGTAATTTTTCAAAACAACTACTTAATGTGGTTTAATGCAAAACTTACATTGCGTGGCTCAAGGCTGTCATCTAGACCTAGACCACGGATGTGAGAGTGAGCACCAATCCTTTCAATCCGGGTGATTTCCCGAACTTCTTGAACTTTCGCAGCAGCAATCGACTGTTGATGACCAAAGAAATGATTAGAACGATATGTAGAGGGTGTTTGTGGGTGATACCGGCACGAGCATTTTGAGGTTAGGAATATAAAAAGAGGGGCTGAAATACATTAGCTCGAGATAACAATAAATGAATGATAAGTTTTTTGATTACATTAAAAATTAGAGGACAATTTAGAGTTCGGTGATACTTAAGCCTTTGAGTGTTACATACAAAACCGTAAATCAAAACAGGCAGGCATGGAGAACCTATCAATAGGCATTTCCAAGATCAGGCACAAAAATGTTCACAGAATTCAAACTTTGATGGTCTATATGAATCGAATAAACACCAGTCTATTGGGAAAACAGTGTTATACTTCAAAATAGGGATTAAACTTAAGAATTTTCAAGTAAATAGGTACGTACCGCCATCGTGCACAACTTTGTTTATGCCTCGCCGAAAAACACAACGCAGGTTGAGCACTCCCGTTGTCCTTGGAAACCGAAGCGAAACTTCTGAAATAAATTTCGGTACAGAGAAAGCACTTTGCAAACGAACTCTGCGCTATCGACCGCACTGAAACGCCAAGTTCACGACATTTGAGAGAGAAATCTTCGTGATGAAGACTGCAAACGGCTAGAAATACTTGTGAACAAGCTATCCAGGTTGGCAGCGAAGACCTCAAAGTGGCAATTTCAATGCCAACTGCGCATACTAAAGCAGTCCCAAAATCTCAAATTTTATAGTGAATGTGCACGGTTAAATATGTACATATGTGAAGGAGACCAGAGTTTGAAATAAAATATAACGAAAATGCGGTCTTCCCCCCATTTTCGCCACTCTTGACCAACGCGGCCAAGACGACCGTGGCGTTGCCTTCGTGCGAATTTTATCGAGCGAAAACGCAGTGGTTGATCGGGATTTGCAAATTTTAGTCCGCTATTGTCGGTACGAATTTTGTCAAATTTCTGAAAGGCGACACCCAGGAGCTTCTAGCGGCCGCCGGAACTGCAAACTACACGGTGAGTAGCGAGGCTGCCGGCCTGCTCCGGGGCGTACATGGGGGCCGGGGAGAGTCAAGAGAGTGCGAGAGAGATCGCGGCCGCGGCGCCTGGTTGCGGCGACGCCCAGCAGGGCCCCCGCAGTCGTCAACCTTTTATGCATCCTGATGAGCCTTTGCGCCGCGACGCCCTAGCGACGCCGGATGTGTAGCGGAATGAAAGGATGGGTGGGGAGGGGGGGTGCATAGACGGAGAGGG